AGTGACAATATAATTTCGTTTATTTTCCTTTAACACACTGCTGGTTAAAACTGCCAGACAGTAGATTTCAGAACATTCCCTCAACCAAACGTCCTGGGGAAATTAAAAATAAAGTCACTACCATGTACCAAAAATAAAATAGCCCACCCCCACGGCCATCTTTCCCCCCAAACTAGTCCCTGCAAAGCCAATGCAATCAGAAATAGACATCTGTGCTTTTCACCCAGGGCCCAAGATTGCTGCAAAACAAACTAAAAAAATGTCACTGCAAGTTGTTATAACACAAAGCAATGGACAGTAAAGTAAAAAAATCCTCCTTAAAAACCCTTTGTACTGGTGACAAGTACAGATGGAGATCTCCCCCCACTCCGTTCAGGCTTTACAGACAACTTAGCCCTGCAGCTTCAAGTAGTCTGTGAACATCCTGGATGCCGACAGCACGGGTCAGTTCCACCCGTCCCAGCCTCCGCAGCCGGGTGCTCCGGAGCGGTGGGACCATTCGCCGACGGGACCCAAACATTCCCGTCACCTGCCCAGCACCTCACGGTCCTGGCTGCTGCCTCCTGGCATGGAGCACAAATCCCGCCTCTGCTCTCGGAGTCTCTGGGGCTGCTTTACCAACCCGGCTGCTTCTCGAGCGGGAAAGCCCAGAACACACGAAGGCCCTGTAGAAACCACGAAAAATTAAAGCCCCGACTCGCCAGCAAGTTTCCAGAGAGCGCTTCACGTCAGCGACCCAACTTGGGAACTGTCACAGCGTGACAGCACAGCCGTGGTAGCACGGGCAAGCACATCCCCACGACACGGAGTGGGAACTACGCCGGGGCAGAGATCCCGCGTTTCCTAGGTTCACACTCTCCCCAGTTAAACTGGTTCAAGCTGTACTTTGCCCCTCGCCTTGAAATCTCCATCACACAAACTCTTCAGCAGAGACCTCTGATGTTTGCAAAAGATTATTCACATTTTCTAATCAGCCAGCACTGTTTCTAGGAGGGAGGAAAGCAGTTCTGTTTTGTTGCTTATTTTTTTTCTTTCCTTTTTTTTGAAATAAAGCACTTTTTGGGAAAAAAGAAATCAAAACTTATCAATAGCCTGCAGTAGCATCCCACTGATCAGCCTGGGGACAGCGCTGCCCAATCACTCCCCCTACCACACATCTTCCCCCCAATCTCCAAAAATAGTATTTAATATACAGCAATAAACTCTGAGCAAGCCAGAGTCCCGGAAGACATGGACCTGCTTTCACCTCTCCCGTCCAGCCCAGCACCACTTGAGTGCGGTTGCTACTCTACTCCTGGGACAACACCACTGGGACCCAAGGCGAAAGGCACATGCCCCAGCCCCGCCGGGCAGCGCGCGAAGCAGGGGTGCAGCACAGGAGGCCCATTCCTGTCGTCACGTCTCCGAGCCCGCACAGCTCCAGCCCGGCGTTGTGTTTGGGCCCTTAAGAATACCTGTCTGAGCCTATTTGGGACTAGCCAGTGAAGGCAGACTGGGGGAACCAGGCTGATGTTAAAAAAAAAAAAACATCCTTGAATTGTATTAGACTTTGGCATTTGCTGTGGAGATGTAGAAGCGCCAGTAGGTAAATTAGCTCAGTCCTGGCCCAGCGCCCATTCCCCTTGGATTCTCAGCAAGGGTACTTCCCTCCCTGCCACGTAAGTGCAAGAAGCAGACAGATCTCTCCCACATGGGAGCACCAAACAGGGCCTGAAACACTTGGTGCTTCGCAGCTGCTCAGAATCCGTCTGACACCAAGGGCTGAAGCTGCTCTGCTGGTCCTCTCCTTCCTCCTGCTGTTTTCCATCGGACAGGCCTGTTCAGCCCAGACTTCCCACACCAAGACATCTCCCTGGCTGCTGCAATTCCGTCTCAACTTCAGGACAGGCCGAGGGACAAAGCACGGTCTCTGCTCCCTGTTCAGAACCTAACAGTCCAGGGCAAGCTGTCAGCAAGCCAGTTTGGGGGGCAGGACCCCCCAAGGCACACTGCACCCAGAGGCCCCAGGCACCACACGACTACCAGGACCCAGCCGTGACTCAATCGGCTCCGAACTGCGCAGACATGCAGGCACCAGACTTGTCTGGAAGTTCTCCATCCTGCCTTCGGGAGATTTCTGGGGGAGACCAGACCCGAAGGAGCTCTTCCAGTTCTATCCCCTGCTAGGCTTTTATTTCCCATTGACCTCAAGGGCTGGAACCAAAGATACTCACTCACAGTTCTCTGCTTCAGCTGTGACCTCCGGAGCTGGCATCCAGGGACAGCGAGACAGTCCCCAGCTGATCACAAGGGCAGGGAATGCCTGTCCCTTGGGGAAAAAGAAAAACAACTCAGAAGCTCCTTAAAAAAAAAAAGAAGCTTCTTCAAATAGACTTCTATTCAAAGCCTGAGACAAAGGCACCAAAAAGAGAAGGGAATTCATTTGGCTTTCTGCTCACTGCCACCTGGGATACTCAAAAGGGTCAGAGCTGCTGTTTTAGTCACACAGACAGAGGGGGAAAATGGCCTGGCTCAAAGAGAAGAAAGGAGGGGCTGATGAGGGGGCTAATGAAAATAGCCTTTGGAACCACGAACCTGAGGATGGATCCAGGCCCAAAACATGACCAACGGTGTCGTCTCCCCTTTATTTAAAGCGGAAGCTTTATTAAAATTGCCCTATCTGCCCCTCTCTACACAACTGCTCCACGAGTCAAGGCAGGGTCTGTTCCGACCCAGCTCCCCACACTCCTCACAGGGACACGCGCTTCACCTGCTTGCTGCTGGCCGGAGGCAACAAAGCACGTACAGGTTTGTCTCTCACCAGTCTCAGCTAAACAATGCCTGGGACATTCCCTTAAGCACCTGTGCTGGAAAGCTACAGCCAACCCAAACTTTCTCCTTCCCTGGTCAGGACCTGGTACCTCATCGTACCCATCTGGCTGGCTTGCAGGCACCAGACGGAGAGGACAAGGGCACCCAGCTCATAGCACCGTAACGGGGTCAGGAATCCTCCAACCACCCAGACACCAGCTTTGTAGTGACAAAAATGGGTAAGAACAGAGCCAGAACAACCAAATTGAAGCCATGATGAACTATTCCTCCTCCTTATTCTTAGTCAAATATGACAAACTCATTTGAAGGGAGCAACTGGAACACAACAGATCACACCCTGCATAGCCATGCCTTAGGACAGCTGACGGCACCAGGCGGGTGCCCCGGCCGCCAGGACAGGCAGCGATAAACTATCCTAGAAGACTCATCTCCGAGCTTTGCACACCTAAACGCACACCCCTTTTCTCACGCTAGTCAAGGCGCAGAGATTAGTGGGTGAGCCACAAGAAGCTGAGTGATCCCTTGCTTCAAGGTTGCTCAAATAAAATGCAACCTAAAAGGCCTGGAGGAGAACAGCTCCTTCCAGACACACTTGCTTTGAAGCCCAGGTTCTTTGCTTAACAAATCAGCACAGTTCATGCTTCTCAAACTGACAAATATCTAAATGTCTCCACGCTCCAGTCAGAGCAATCCCCAAAACGCTGGAGAATCTCCGCAGGCACCGTCACCAAACAAAACAGAGCTCATATTTGACAAGAGTTTTATAAGCACTAGGATTTTCACAGCAGCTAGAAGATGAAGCACACAACTTCAAGCTTACCACCTTTTCATGCTCAGGTCTGCTCTTAAGATCTGCTCTCTCTAATGCCCATCTTCTGGCGTGGCAGGGACCCTCTTGCTTCTCCCAAACTGGCTGTTACCACATGTGCAACTGGAGAGGAGGTAATTCAGGTCCCACTGCTTGCTTTTTAGCTCATAGACGCAGAATTACGGTCAGGCCTATAGCAGTGACGTGTGCTATCAGCAAGGCAAGGTTCAGTGCCACTGCCATGCAGAGCAGTGCTTCGACACCTCCCCTAGTTCCCGTGCTGGAGGCCACGGGCTGACAGCTCACATCAGCTTGAGGGTTAGGAGGAAGAGAAGGCTTCAGCTGCTTGGGCCCAGCAGAGCAGAAAGGCTGCTCCTCCAGTTCCCTTTCCAGAAACTAGGGAAGCCTGCTGACCACTCTCAGCTCAAAGAAAGGCCAAGCCACAGCAGGGGATCAAACCCAGGAACAAGTGCTAGGAAAACTCAAGCCCAGGGAGCAGCAGCAGCTAGGAGGACGCTGCTGAGTGCAGCTGCTCTGGGTAAAGAGAGAGCACTTCTGAGAACAAGAGAGACAGAGCGAGGTACAGCGTCCTGCGCACCCAGAGCTCACCGGCATCGAAGCTGAGCCGACCCTGCCTGGGACAGATCCTGCTCCAGAACACAGAACATCTCCCTCCCACCAGCCAGAAGTGCTGTCGGACGCCAAGAGCGCGGGAAGGCAGCTCCTCGGGGCCTGCAGCTCTGGATCAGCAAGCGCAGCGAGGGCTTTCGCTCTGCGCAGCCTCTGTCAGGCTGGCGCAGGCTCTGCATGTGGAAACAGAAGCCTCCTGCAGAAATATCCCTGGGGGAAGCGGGTCACCTTGTCTCCGGTGTTCTGCTCGCTTCCAGATCTCTGGAGGGCACAAACCCCCTTGGTCAACAGGACTGAAGTGCTGGACACGCACCCCTTCACCACAGTGCCTCGATACGCCACGCTAACCGATGACACTGACCGACTCCACTGCGCTTCTCCCCGCTGCAGGCAGGCCTGGTCCCTACAACAGCGAGCAAGAGCTCACAGGGAGCATCTGCGAGGTTGCTCTGCTCTGTCCTGCAGCACAGGCTCTTCACAGTCACGGGGCAGGGAGGGAGCTAGCTGTTAGGAAGGCCAAGGAACAAGTCCAGAACCTCCTCTCTAGGTCATCTGGTTGTCAGCTTCTTCCAAAGGACAGGTCACTGGCTAGAAAGGGCAAAACAAGGAACTGGGCTTAAAATTAAACCTTTGAAAAGGATGTTAAAGGAAACAAAAGCCATAATCAATACAGAAAACAAGTGCATCTGATGAGACGCTAACGTCAGCCTCTCACAGGCTACAGCAGAATCCCTCTGCAACGGATCTAACATTACAATTGCCAAACGAGGAAAGTCTCTCCCAACCGGTGCAGCAAATCAGGCCAGACGAACCCCTCTGCTCCTGGCGCAGCTCGCACTCTCGGGAGGGGAACATCCCCACAGAGGCTGAGCGGCTGGCTGGAATCGCGGTATCTTTCTTTATGCAGCCGAGTACCATATATCGTGTTGCACACGTTCAGGGAGATGCTGAGCCAGGCTCCGTCCTCCATAGTCATCAGCCACCAAACGGCACCGCAACACTTCCACGCTCCCGGAGAAAACGTGTACCAAGGCCTGGTTTCAAGAGCTGCTTCCCTGCTTAAGGAACCATATTCCACCCAGCAAAGGCAGAGATCTTGCAGCACATGGCTTTCTCTCAGTGTGGGACATGGCCCAGGACTGGTAGCATCAGCTTCCGCCAGCCCTATACACAGACAGCCAGGACTCGGTTTACTCTTGGATGCCCCAGGGAGGATCAGAGGCTGCACATGGTGTGAAGGGGAAGGCGAGGGCCTCGCTGCTTGCTGGCAGGGGGAAGGTAAGCTCCCTCTTACCTGGACCTGCTATTCATTCCAAATGAATCATCTTTTTTTTTTTTTTTCCTTAAATTATGAACAATATGGAGAAATTGAAAGCAATCGTGTTTGGTCCAACTCCTTCCCTCACAGCCCCTTGGCTGATGCTCTGTGGGGCTTGCTCTCACAATCGGCAGAGGCAGAAGAGGGTAGGAATGAAGACACCAAAGGCCACCAATATAGGAAACATGAGGCTGCTGTTGTCTGAGGCATACGGGTTTGGTGTGCGTGGGCCTGACTGAACCCGGTTCTTATTTGCCTGTTTTTTAACACTGGAGCCATCATCATACTCATCTTCATCATCATCTTCTTCTTTTTTCTCCAGACCTGGGTGCGGCTGCAACTTTGGAACATCTGTTGGACAAGACAAAAGATTGCAAGGAGGCAGGATATAATCTGGGAAATCACCAGAGTCTCTCCCTTCCCCTCTCCCCTATCCTGCATGACCACAAGCAACAGGGCGCCTGGCACCACGTCAACACCACAGCCAGAGCCCCCCGGGGAACAGGAGCATCCTCCCTCACAGGGGCTCACAACACTGTTTCTTTCCTCTGTGATGCAAGAGCATCCAAAGACCCAGCCTGCAAAGAAAACAACATGCATCCACCCCACCCACCTGTCACACGGGGGAAGCTGCAGCACAAAAGCACACCTGGAGTGTAACAGCCAGATACCGCAGCTGGTGAGTGAGATCCAGTCACAAACAGGCACCTGCTGCCTGCGGGACCCGCAGACACAGGCGCCAACAGGAACGTGAACAACCCTTTCCACAAATGGTCCTACCTCACACCACTGCACCCCAGATCTACCAGAGCAGCACGGCCCAGCCCCGCTCACATCCAGCCCTCTGAGCTTGGAGCCCCAACTGCAGGTCCCCCACACAGCCAGGTGCCACCCGGCCACCAGGTTACACACCAGATCTTCAGCAGCACTTGGCAATCCCTGACCAACTGTAAAGCAAACTGATGTTTTCGTCAGAGAGGGGTCCTAAACCACCCCTGTCCAGGAGCTAGAGGGGCTCCAACTCCAGCACAGACTTGCAGAGAGGGTGATGGAAGAGCAAGGACTTTACTAGCACTCCCCACTGCTATCCAGAGGAACTGATATCTGGGAAAAGACACTGCCTTGCCGTACAGCCAAGAAGGCAAAACAAAGCTCCAGGTAAGAAACGCTTAACTGTTAGCTAACAGATCTCTGCAAATTACTTGTCTGCAGGGCTGATGCTGGCATCCAAGGCCAGAGG